CTTTTTTTCTCTTGTCTTTTCTAGGTTGATGTTTCACTGTCACGGGTAAAAACATGACAAGCCAGAGTAAAACACCTGAAGAAAAGAGATATCAGAAAATAGAAAGAATTATGAGTCAGATATTTGCCAATTTGTTCATTTCTATTTTTGACACTTCCAATATTTACGAAGTTAATCTTACGACAGTACAAGATGAAATGGCGCGAATAATTTATTTACTGGCGTTTAACTCGATTCGAACTACCAATCTCTGACAGCAGTAGCGAAATACGTAACTTTTCTTTAATTATTCTTTTTTACACTTTTCACCTTATCGTATATTTATTCGTATTTCTGAAAAGTGGGAACATATATATATATATATATATATATATATATATATATATATATATATATATATATATATATATGAAGAAGAAATATACTCTTAAAGTGTGCTATATTTATGGGGTAATGTGTTCAATATCAGAGATAGAGCGTGTGTAAATATAGTGAACATTGAAGTCAACACTTAGAGCGACAGTCTGTTTCATACTAGACGTCTAGCATGAAACAGCGTGTCGCCTCTAATTGTTGACTTCAATGTTCACTTTTATATATATATATATATATATATATATATTAAGACATTTTTATGTTTATACATTCTTTTATAGGTACAAATATTTAAGTAAAGGTTCTGTTTATAATAAACAGTATTAAACAACATTTACCGGAAGATTCGAACCTGTATCTTATATATATATATATATATATATATATATATATATATATGTGCATTTATCCAGTTGATGGCAGTAAACTATTGTCGGCTAGGTGTAACGTAAGCCGTCTAGATAGGCATGTAGTAGTGTGACCAATGTAAGTTTATATATATATATATATATATATATATATATATATATATAATTGTGTATTTGGGCAGTAACACCACGTTTATACCAATTTATTTTAAAAACAGCAGACAAGGTACCGTGGTTAAGTTTTTTATTTAATTTATCTCAATAATATCAACTGAGAACACGGCCACAATATGCTGACCGTGTTTGTAAAATGAAACATTCCTATGACTCTAGATACATACATAAAACAATCCTCACATTCAGTTAAAAGTAAAAATAAGAAAAAAATCCTAATGGCTCGACAGGGATCGTACGGGATCTGGTGTTTCAACATGATATGGCCGTAAGTGTTAGTATAGGAAATAAACTTTAGACTCAAGATATGTAAGAAATGAATAGACGATAATAATAATAATAATAATAATAATAATAAGGAAAATGATAAAAATTGTGAAGTCTTTAGCTGTGCCCTTGAAAAACTCGACTTATACACGATTATGCATATCAGTAGGGGTTTTATAAAAATTGTACTTCTGTACATATTCGTGTATAAAGTCGAATTTTATCTGCGACCTCGTCCGGCTTAAATACTCCGTGACTGTTGTTTTGTGAGGTTGTAACTTACGAAATCCGAGTCGCTGTTCGTAACATCCAACACGACAAATATTCACCATGTTTGTTTTCAATGCCATGTCTTTTCAGGACGTAGGCGATCATGGCTCTCCACAGATTCTTTTTCTTTATCAAAGTTCTTCTTTTTCTTCTCCTCCTCCTCTTCTTCCTTCTTCGCCTCCATCTCCTCCTTCGCATACTTCTCCTCCTCTTCGTCCTTTTTCTCCTCGTTTTTCTTCTTCTTCTTTTGTTTCTTTTACTTGTAGTTGTTGCTGTTGTTGTTATTCTTTTTATCGTCCTCCTCTTCCTTCTTTTCCTCTTTCTCCTCCTTCTTCTTATAATCTTTCGTCCTTTTTCTTTTCGCCTCCTGCCTCTTTTCTTATTCGCCTTCTTCTTCTTCTTCTTCTTCTTCTTCTTCTTCTTCTTCTTGTTTCAACCCTCTGTTTTAATTTTTTTCTTTACCATCTGGACTTCTTTTTGTCGATCTTCTTCTTCCTCGTCTCCTTCTTATTCTTCTTCGTCTCCTCCACCTCTTTCTTTCTTTCTTTCTTTCTTTTCTTCTTCTTCTTCTTCTTCTTCTTCTTCGTTTCAAAAAAGAAAAAAACAGATCTAAGCATCCAATCTAGGCATAGGTAATATTTTTGCCAGTCAGCACAAAATGCATGCTGGGAAGGGCGAAAAGCAATAATTAGTTACTCGTTAAATTACTAAATGAAAGAATCGTAAAAATGTAGCCAGTCTTAATAAATAACAATAGTATTGGTAGTTCTATTTACATCATTTACATGCAGACTATTGTCCTCATCTTTGTTGCTGTTATCACAACGTTTCGATCGTTGTGCGCGCCGGCCTTCATCAGGTGTATGCCAATCCTAGTAATTCAGACATAATTTATCGCTTAATAAGAGTTTGTATCAATGAACTGAATTTAGATCTGAAATATTAATGTTCGATCTTAGTGATTAATAAAGAAATCTTGTATTTAAGTGCGTCAAGAAGAAAGGAGACTTTAATTTATTGCTGGATTTCTTTTTTTTTTATCGAAAGACGACGGGTCTATTGATATAATTGGGTCTATATTGGTGGGAATTAAAATTCGTTTTTATTTTCCTTTGTGAAATCAACTTGTGCGATTTTGAAACATAGAATTCTCTACATATGGTCTCTTTCGACGATCCTAGCTGGTGGTCCAATTCGCAGGTGGTCCGAGTCGCGTCTCTCTCTTGCTGTTTTGTCGGGTCTGTTTTGATTCGTCTACCAGATTGTACTGGTGGTGATTCGCTTCTGCCTTACTGATGGTCGAATTCGCGTCTGTCTTACTGTTGGTCGGATTCGCCTCTGCCACTGGTGGTCAGAGCTTGCCTTACTGGTGGTCAGATTCGCTTCTGCCTTACTGGTGGTCAGATTCGCCTCTGCCTTTTGGTCAGATTCGCCTCTGCCTTACTGGTGGTCAGATTCGCTTTCTCACTGGTGGTCGTATTCGCGTCTGTCTTACTGGTGGTCGGATTCGCTTCTGCCTTACTGGTGGTCAGATTCGCTTTGCCTTACTGGTGGTCAGATTCGCATCTGTCTTACCAGATTTTCTGGTGGTCAGATTCGCTTCATTACTGGTGGTCAGATTCGCCTCTGCCTTACTGGTGGTCAGATTCGCTTCTGCCTTACTGGTGGTCAGATTCGCTTCTGCCTTACTGGTGGTCAGATTCGCTTCTGCCTTAGTGATGGTCGTATTCGCGTCTGTCTTACTGGTGGTCGGATTCGCCTCTGCCTTACTGGTGGTCAGATTCGCTTCTGCCTTACTGGTGGTCGAATTCGCGTCTGTCTTACTGTTGATCGGATTCGCCTCTGCCTTACTGGTGGTCAGATTCGCTTCTGCCTTACTGGTGGTCGCTTCGCTTCTGCCTTACTGGTGGTCAGATTCGCTTCTGTCTTAGTGATGGTCGGATTCGCCTTTACTGATGGTCTCGCGTCTGTCTTACTGTTGGTCGGATTCGCCTCTGCCTTACTGGTGGTCAGATTCGCTTCTGCCTTACTGGTGGTCAGATTCGCTTCTGCCTTACTGGTGGTCAGCTTCGCTTCTGCCTTACTGGTGGTCAGATTCGCTTCTGTCTTAGTGATGGTCGGATTCGCTTCTGCCTTACTGATGGTCGAATTCGCGTCTGTCTTACTGTTGATCGGATTCGCCTCTGCCTTACTGGTGGTCGATTCGCTTCTGCCTTACTGGTGGTCAGATTCTGCCTTCTGGTGGCCTGTCTTACTGATGGTCGAATTCGCATTCTGCCTTGGTGGTGATGGTGGAATTCGCTTCTGCTTAACTGATGGTCGAATTCGCGTCTGTCTTACTGGTGGTCGGATTCGCTTCTGCCTTACTCGTTCTCGAATTCGCTTCTATCTTATTGGTGGTCGGATTCACCTCTACCTTGCAGTTGCACGGAGTCGAATAATATTTGGCTCTGGTCGTATTCGTATCTACTCATAATCGATAATTAATGGTCGCCCATGTTTGAGTCCTATATCAAAGTCTTTATGGCACTATCTAAATAAGTGAAATAATCTGTTTAGAATTGTGAATTAGATTTTCTTAAAATCGTACCGAATTATTTAAACAATTGAAAAAATATTGAGTTTGCTGAAGTAATTCATTAATATTATAGAAAATTATTGAAATGTTTCTCTCATCGGCATCTTCACAGCAGGAAATTCAAAAATACTCAGCGTAATAACAAAAGCTAATTCATAAAATTAATGTTTTGTCGAAAATATCTATGCATATATTTTATAGAGGCGAGAGAACTTTTATGACAATCTTCACTATTCTGCAATACGTAGTGTTTTAAAAAAAGCGATGATTATAATTGTAATAGAACCAAATCGTATGGTGAAAGTAAATTTATACATTTTTTTATCATGAGAATTGGCAACAAAAATATTAAACACTATTTATATAATTAGATTGTTTATTTACAAGGATAATTTTATACTGACAACATTCTAAAAACAAAAATAACTGTATTAAAAAAACTAATGCAATGCAATATTTATCCTTTACCAATTCATAAAGAAATTAACATGAAAACAATATTTTATTTATAAACATTTACTAAATTATTAAAATATGTGAACCATCTATAAGAAAATCAACAACCATTCCAATAAATAATATAAAATATATAATTCTTATATAAGAATATACAAATGCGAAGAAAAAAACTTCCAAGGAGATATCAGTAGAAAATCAGTCTTTACAGATAAAAATGGCTGAAAAGTCGATAAAACAACAGAATAAAAAATATTAATTGTACCGAAGAAGTTTTCAAATTGTCAATAATATAGTAAATGTTTTTGGAATCCATAACAAAATTTTGTGGACAAAATCCTAACGAAACAAAAAACCAGTGGACAAGATCCCAGCCTCTTTTCTCAAATGTGAACAAAATCCCAGTCTCATACACGATTAATTGTAAAGGCCTGAAAGATATATATATATATATATATATATATATATATATATATATATATATATATATATTGATAGATAGATAAATAGATCTATAGATATAAATATAGATAGATAGATATGAATAGACTGAGATAGATAGATAGAGAGATAGATATATGAACAGACTGCGATAGATAGATAAGGAACATAGATAGATAGATAGATATGAAGAGGCTATTAGATAGATAGATAGATAGATAGATAGATAGATAGATAGATAGATAGATAGATAGATATGAAGAGGCTATGTGATAGATAGATAGATAGATAGATAGATAGATAACAAATAGAATTAGGTAGATAGATAGATAGATGGAGAGAGAGAGAAAGAGAAATGAACTACGAGATATAGATTTGAATAAAGTACAATAAAGTGGATTACATGTCTTCGCAGAGTATGAATGTTATATCTCGTGCAAGATATAATAAACAAAGTAAACCCGAGTGTGGTTTTCAATAATAATTTTATAATCGGATATAGGTATGTCAAAATACAGAGAGAGTCAGAAGTATGCTAACCGCAATAGGTGTTAACAAACGAAGACCTTTTTTTGACTGTCCGCTGTGGTCGTACTTTATCGGCAATCAGTCCGTCCATTATCGTGAATGGGGAAGTTGGGTTATCTCATCACAACACCTCCCCCCCCCGAAGCTGAAATTCTCCCTTTTGAAAATTTCTGCTTCTAATGTGTCTTCTTTTTGGATCCGGACTAAAACGCTCCACTGGTTTTCTTTCCCGTGTGCTCTTTCTTTTAGTCGTCACAATTAGATCCTTTTTTGGCGAAGATAATTTCCGCTTTTCAGCCCGTAAGGCTGGTCCATGCGATACAGGTTCAAATACACTATTGGGTAGTGTCATGTTAAAAGTATCGCATAACACTTCCATCGGAATTTCTTTTTCACTTTCTTCACCATATCGTGGTCTAATCTGATTGATGTGTCTTTTGCACGTAATTTTTTTACTTTTAATCGTGTAGACCACTTTACCAATCCTTTTCTGGATTATGCCATCCATCCAATAGCTTTTTCCACTTTTAAAATTCAAAAAAAAACTTTGTCTCCTGAAGTGTATTTTTTTATGTTGACTTTTTCCTCTTTCTTAGCAACTTTTTTTGTTTTGATAGGGTAACAATCTATCGAAAATTGATCTAATTTTCCTTGCGAACATAATTTCCGCCGGTGACATTTTCGCATCGTTGATCTCATCCTCGTCGCCAGCTGTTATATCTCGTGCAAGATATAATAAACAAAGTAAACCCGAGTGTGGTTTTCAATAATAATTTTATAATCGGATGTAGGTATGTCAAAATACAGAGACAGAGTCAGGAGTAAGCTAACCGCAATGGTGTTAGTAAACGAAGACCTTTTTCTCTCTACTCCTGACTGCGGTCGTACTTTATCGGCAACCAGTCCGTCCATTATCGTGAATGGGGAAGTTGGGTTATCTCATCACAACAATGAGATAGATAGATAGATAGATAGATAGATAACAAATAGAATTAGATAGATAGATAGATAGATAGATAGATAGATAGAAGATAGATAGATAGATAGATATTTTACGATAGATAGAGACAGACAGATAGATAGATAGATAGATAGATAGATAGATAGATTGGAAGAAAATTGCTTATTGTTATAACTCATTCCTAGAGGTTATGATATATCTTGCTTACGCTACTCGCCGTGACATCATTAGCAATCTCTCCGACTGACTCTAACAGACTTGTATTTACCCAGTCTCCCCAGTGAGACGAGATGTGACACAAGGTTGCGTTTAATGTGGGAAACGCACTCCGAAGACAGAGGTATTATCTTGTCGCGAGCCTGGGACTGATTGCGACGAAATGGTATTCAGCGGTTGCCCCACTGCGGACTAGAAACCCGAGTGTTTCCACCCGGGCCACTGGTCAAAATTTACACTCAATAGCGGGCTCGGCTACAGTACTTGTCCGTTTTTCTCAGCCGAGTATCTATCCGAAGACAGAGCCCCGACTGAGTCACCCTCTTGCCCGAAGACAGTTGTCTTGTCAGACGCAAGCCAGACAGCAAACTGTCTGACTCCACCTTTTCTCAGGTGTGTCTCTATCCGAAGACAGAACCCAGACTGAGTCACCCCCTGTCCGAAGATTGAGGACGTGTCAACTTCTGTCCGAAGACAGAGGTCTTGTCTAATCGTGCGCCTGGGATTGACTGCGACAAATTTCTACTGATTTATTTGGGGTTGTTTATTTAAAGCATCTTGCCTAGTTCGTATGTGCTACCGGGGGTAGGGAATAGGGGGGGTATTTACTCCACAACACTTGTTTTGTCATATCTATCTATCTATCACATTCTGTTCATACGTATCTCTATCTATCTACTTATGTCAATCTATTCATACCGATTTATTCTGTTCATTATCTATCTATCTATCTATCTATCTATCTATCTATCTATTATCTATATATATATATATATATATATATATATATATATATATATATATATATATATGAATCCATGACAAAATCCGAATGGATGAAATAACAAGCGCTTGCCCATCTCGCTACTGACCAGGCTTGATGTAGTTTAACTTTGGTGATCGTATGTGAACCGATCTTTCAACGTGATATGGCCGTAAACATGAACCGAATTAGATAGATAGATAGATAGATAGATGATGATAGATAGATAGATAGATAGATAGATGTGAGGAGACCAAGAGATAAATAGATAGATAGATAGATAGATAGATAGATTGGAAGAAAATGATTTATACATATTTTGTCATATCTTTCCATTTCAGTCTGTTCATTATCTATTTATCTATTTATGTCTGTTCATTCTCTCTCTCTCTCTCTCTCTCTCTCTCTCTCTCTCTATATATATATATATATATATATATATATATATATATATATATATATATATATATAAATATTAAAATAGACCACTTTAAGGTTCCATGTAATAAATTATTTCACCACAGCCCTTTTAAAAGGACTGCGGATCATCAGACTTTACTTCCAAAACAAAAAAAATGAAAAAAATTTTCACATTTTGACGGGCCGTATTAAACATGTAAATTAACAAGTGAGGAAGTGAGGGAGAGAAGACATGTCTGAGTTCCCTCTCTGTCCTCACTGTTAATTTAAATATGCTACGGCCCGTCAAAAATGTGTAAATTTTTTTTCATTTTTTGTTTCAACCTTTGAAGTAAAGTCTGATGATCCGCAGTCCTTTAAAAGGGCTGTGATGAAATAATTTATTACATGGAACCTTAAAGTGGTCTGTTTTATTTAAATTATTTGCTCTGGATTTACATTGAGCTCTCTGGATTTTATCCTCCTTAGGTTTACCCATACGGATTACCTAGTTTTTTAAACTATATATATAATATATATATATATATATATATATATATATATATATATATATGTATGTGAATCCATGACTAAAAACGAATGGATAAAATCCAAGTGGACAAAATCCAAGCCTCGTATGCCAAAAAGTGAACAAAATTCCAGTCTCATTTATGATTAATTATTAAGGCAAAGTGTAAAGGTCATTCGCTTGTTATCCTGTTAGATTAAGTTAAGATAACATATTACATTTCATTCAACCCTGGACCTCGTCAAGAGCAACATGAAAGGCCAGAAACTCTGCTATGAAGAACATCGGATGTACACCAAGAAAACGAGGACGAAGAATGGGAATGTGCCAAACGTGCAACCCTCTCTTGTAAAGGAACTTATGAGTACTGATCGTGGTTTTCCGGTTCCATCGATTGTCAAAGAGTACAGCCATGATCCACATACAGTCAATGTTGCAATGGCCAATCTGCGCCATCAGATCAAGGATGATTCATGAACAAAGAAATCCAAAACTATTCAGATCATTCATAACTATATATACATAAATGGAGCAGAAATTTGTAAGCATGAATTAAGTGTATATATTGGATATTGTATCTGTTGTCTCAACTTGATATTGGACTGTATATATTGGATATTGTACATATAAGTGTATATATTGGATATTGTACATATAAGTGTATATATTAGATATTATTATTGCCTTTGATTTCTGCTGTATGCACATTTCCTTCGGGATACCAACCAGAGACATAAGGACAGAAATGGCTTAAGAACATTTTCCACTGATCATTTTTGTAAAAAACAAAACCACAGCCTAAGATCACTGACATTTTACATAGATAAAGCTCTTCGTAAGGTATAGGCTGTACTTGTGAGTACAGTTTTTTGTATTTCTTTAACGATTGGGCAACCAGGAATCCCTTCAATGAATCTATCGGAACCTTTCTCCAATAAATGCAAGGTATCCAACTTCAACTGGAATTACTGATGTGTCTAAGTATTTAAAATTTCCACCTAAAGATCCTCGTAATTTGATAGATTTTTTGAATACCTTTAGGGCTACATTACAGGGACAGCCATGTCAATAAGAAAGGGTATTCTGTTTTTGTGGTCTCTAATCACGATGTCTGGGTGATTAGCTTTCATTGTTTTGTCTGTGTGGAATGTAGTGTTCCATAAAATTGTTACAGGTTCTATTTATCCTCTTCTTGTTCTTCTGCTGCTGCTGTTCCCCTATTTCTTCTTCTTATACTGCTGCTGCTGCTGTTTATATTACTACTTCTGTTCCTTCTTCTTCTACTGCTGCTGCTGCTATTGATGCTGGTGCTTCTATGTCTTCTACTGGTCCTTCCTTTCTTCTTCTTCTGCTTCTTCTTCTTGTACTGCTGTTGCGGCTGCTGCTTATACTACTTCTTCTGTTTCTTCTTCTTCTACTGCTGCTGCAGCTGCTGTTTATACTACTTCTTCTGTTTCTTCTTCTTCTTCTACTGCTGCTGTGGCTGCTGTTTATACTACTACTTCTGTTTCTTCTTCTTCTACTGCTGCTGCTGTTATTGATGCTGGTGCTTCTATGTCTTCTACTGGTCCTCCCCTTCTTCTTCTTCTTGTATTGCTGCTGCTGTTTATACTACTACTTCTGTTCCTTCTTCTTCTTCTTGTACTGATGCTGCTGCTGTTTATACTACTTCTTCTGTTCCTTCTTCTTCTACTACTGCTGCTGCTATTGATGCTGATGCTTCTATGTCTTCTATTGGTCCTCCTCTTCTTCTTATGTTTGTACTGCTGCTGCTGCAGCTGCTGCTGCATCTGCTGCTGTTTATACTTCTTCTTCTGTTCCCCCCTCTTCTTCTTCTACTGCTAATGATTCTATATCTTCTTCTGGTCCTCCCCTTCTTCTTCTTTTTCTGTTGCTGCTTCTATGTTTTCTTCTGTTTCCCCCACTTCTACTTCATCTTCTTCTTCTTCTTCTTCTTCTTCTTCTTCTTCTTCATTTTATTATTATTGTTGTCTCAAATTGTCATTGGGATTTATTTTTGTCTGCTGGGTTTTTATCCTATTTCCCTCTTTCTGACATGTTTTAATCTAATCTGAAAAGAGTGAGATTAGAGCAAAAATTGTTTGGCTGCTTTGTCTGGGCTGGCGCTTCTCAATCTTCAGTTTCTAGCATTGATAGATTTCAAAATCGATTTTTAGGGTTGGCCGTGGAGGTTCATTCATTCTCCGCTCCGGAGCCTCTTTCCATCACGGACGTAATGTTACCAGCCGGGCCCGCTATTTTCCATGGCAAGTATTGAGAGAAGCTCCATTCTTTAGTTCCACCTTTAAAACTAGTTCAGACCTTTGAAACTAGGACACGTTATAGCATTTCTACAGATTACATTGGTTCCTCTGTGTTCTAAATCTAAGGAGGAAATTCCTCTTGGACAGCGAGGTTATTTCCCTGAACGCAAAAATCTTGACCTCTTCAAGTCAAGTGTTTGCCGTTATCTATCCTTCCTATCCTCATAATTTTACCACTTCTTTGATTCTTATCAAACACTTCATCCATAATTATCAACTTAGCAATAACTCTCTGACTTGTGTGCCCCTTGAGCTTTGTATCAGGCAAACCCACGTTCTGAGTTTCCATCATTTCAAACATTTATTGCTTAATTACGCCATTTTACATAAACAGATTTGATTCAAGTCATCTACTTGTAACATTTGAGTTCCACCAAGAAAACTTTTTCCCTCTACAACCGTTACTTTGAAGAATTCATTCTTACCATTTTCAAATCAATCATAATGTATTTTTCCTATTTTCATAATCTTCCCTTCTTGTTACCCTACCAATTCATGCCTCACGCCGCGTTCAGTAACGCACTATCTTGACTGGCTCTCGAGCGTTGTACTGGGTGTAATTTAATAAAAAAAAATTCGTGAATTAAAAATAAATCTAGTAGGGACGGTGAAGTACTGGATAGCGGCTCGGATTGAGGAATCGGAGAGCCGAGTTCGAATTCCAATCGAATCCATTACATTCACTTATGTGCTAATACTTTTGGGAAAAGGTATGAATCCTCATCTTCTCCCTGACCCCCAGCTATGGGTAAATAGTAGGACAGACCGAGTTCTATAGCCTTGGATGGCAATTGATCTACTGCAGAAAGAAATAGTAACCTACTGCGGTAAAAAAATCTGCCTCATCAGTCATGTATCGAAAGATACATGATCGCCTAAACGTGTATCACGTATGGCACATAACTGATTGATATTCACTTACGTGATAATACCCCTGGGAAAGGTAGAAATCCTCTTCTTCTCTCTCCCAGTAAATAGCAGGACAGACCGGGTTCTATAGCCTTGGATGGCAATTGGTCTACCGCAGAAAGAAATGGCAATCTACTGCGGGAAAAAAATCTGCCTCGTCAGTCATGATTCGAAAGATACATGATCGCGTAAACGTGTATCATGTGTGGCACATAACTGACTAAGGGTCCGAACTCACACTGTCGAATTGTCTGATTCATAATCTCTGTACTCTAGCAGGCAAGCAACTGTCATGTTAGATATGAGGTTGTAGCTGGGTAGGCAAAGATGTTGAAAAGAAGATAAATAATGAGGTAGGAAGGAAGGTAAGGAGGGTGTGGTTTTCGTTTAGTCAGTTACGTTAGGTTTAATTGTTTAATCTATTGAGAAAGCCATCGGGTCTGTCCTCGTGCGTGGCATTTGCGGAAGTATTTTTGTCGTCGGGGTCAACCGGTACGTTCTTCTTTTTCTTCTTCTTCTTCCTCTTCTTCTTCTTCTTATTTGATTTCTCTCCTTTGACATTAAACATTTTCGTGATTGTTTTTAACAGTGAAATTGAAACAGACAGAATCATCTTTTCGAAAATCTTTATCTATCTATCTATCTATCTATCTATCTATCCACTTCAGTAAAATATCTATCTATCTATCTATCTATCTATCTATCTATCTATCTATCTATCTATCTATCCACTTCAGTAAAATATCTATCTATCATCTATCTATCTATCTATATCTATCTATCTATCTATCCATGTAATCTATCTATCTATCTATCTATCTATCTATCTATCTATCTATCTATCTATCTATCCACTTCAGTAAAATATCTATCTATCTATCTATCTATCTATCTATCTATCTATCTATCTATCCACTTCTGTAATCTATCTATCTATATCTATCTATCTATCTATCTATCTATCTATCTATCTATCAGTAAAATATCTATCCATCTATCTATCTATCTATCTAAATCTATCTATCTATCTATCCACTTCTGTAATCTATCTATCTATCTATCTATCTATCTATCTATCTATCTATCTATCTATCTATCTATCTATCCACTTCTGTAAAATATCTATCTATCTATCTATCTATCTATCTATCTATC